GGGCGTCTCCCAATTTTCCGATGCCAGCAGACTCAATTACGTGGGCGGTTGACAGGCGATTGCCTGCTGAAACCAACCCGGCGCTGCTCAAGCAGCCGCCTCCAAGCCCCTGTGAGCAAGGGGCAACACTTGATAGCAGAGAAAGAGAAAGGGAGGGCAGGGTGGGACAACCGTCTTCAAGTTTTTGGGTTCGGGCCCAAAAAAGGCAGCGGAACGGAGACACTCGATCACACATTCGCCAGCACGCAGGGCCATGTGTTTAGAGAGCGTCTCCCATTTTCCGATGCCAGCAGACTCAGTTACGTGGGCGGTTGAAAGGCGATTGCCTGCTGAAACCAACCCGGCGCTGCTCAAGCAACCGCCTCCAAACCCAAGCCCATTTGCATAAATGAACCGGGGGGGAGGGAGGGTCATATAAACTTGTATCATTTCCCAAGGGCGGCAGTAAAGCAAACTGAATTACAGGTGACAGAGTATGTGAGCGACCTTATTACAGAATCTGACAGGATATGCTGAAGCTTTTTTCGAGTGGAACGTACCGTCGGCATCTTTCCCTGCAATATCTGTGTGAGGCTGCTGCGTATAAGAACACACACCACGTCCCTGACACTTGTCTGATCCCAAGAGGTCCAACGCACAGTTCGTGTACAACAGACGGGTACGTTTACGATAACAAGATCCAAAGGCACAGTGGTCCCAATCGACGATATTGTATGTTTCATCAACGACTGATAGAGAGGGTGGAGCCACAACATGGAGCCCTGGGGGTTCTCGATGATGACGGGCACTTCGTGAGCGGCAAGTTGAAGAAACAGGCTTGCGGCCCACTGGGCCTGGGAGTTACCCAACTGCACTTTGTTCTGGTCCTTCTCAGACAATCCGGGCAATCCCAAGATACAGTCCCGCGACCTGATCGGCCCCGGCCAACCGCCAGGGTGAGGATTGCGCCTCGCACGAGACCATGAGGTGCACGCGACGCCAATCCAGACGAACTTGTGCCCTCGCCCAGCAATCCCAAGCAAGAACTGAAGAAAAAAACAATTACCCTGTGACGTACCCAACCCATTTGTATCAATGGAAACGAGGAGTTGGCCGAAACTTGCATGGACAATCAACTTGATGTGTAAGCTACTTGGGACACGCGCCTATGGCATGATGCGCAGGAGAACCATACAAGAACGAGGGGCGACAGCTACAGGCTCGAAGAGGACATGGGGAGTCGGGAACGCAGAGCAGGAGAAAAACGTGCGGGAAGCCGAACCATCAGCACGGCAGCAGCAGAGGGAAGGTGACTGCAGGAGGAGAACAAGGACGAAAGCGGCGTCTAATTTGAGCCTGCGGTGGGTACCCACTGTGCTGTGCCCCTCAGCAGCCCTCGAAAGTGGCGACAGTTTCACAGATCGCAGCCCCCCAGGGATGGCGAGGTCTAATTTGAGTCTGCGGTGGGTACCCACTGTGCTGGGCCCCCCAGCAGGCCTCGAAAGTGGCGACAGTTTCACAGATCGCAGCCCCCCAGGGATGGCGAGGTCTAATTTGAGTCTGCGGTGGGTACCCACTGTGCTGGCCCCCAGCAGCCCTCGAAAGTGGCGACAGTTTCACAGATCGCAGCCCCCCCAGGGATGGCGAGGTCTGATTTGAGTCCGCCGGGTACCCACTGTGCTGTGCCCCTCAGCAGGCCTCGAAAGTGGCGACAGTTTCACAGATCGCAGCCCCCCAGGGATGGCGAGGTCTAATTTGAGTCCGCGGTGGGTACCCACTGTGCTGGGCCCCCCAGCAGGCCTCGAAAGTGGCGACAGTTTCACAGATCGCAGCCCCCCAGGGATGGCGAGGTCTAATTTGAATCTGCCGTGGCGTACCCACTGTGCTGGGCCCCCCAGCAGGCCTCGAAAGTGGCGACAGTTTCACAGATCGCAGCCCCCCAGGGATGGCGAGGTCTAATTTGAGTCTGCGTGTGTACCCACTGTGCTGGGCCCCCCAGCAGGCCTCGAAAGTGGCGACAGTTTCACAGATCGCAGCCCCCCAGGGATGGCGAGGTCTAATTTGAGTCCGCCGTGGTGTACCCACTGTGCTGGGCCCCCCAGCAGGCCTCGAAAGTGGCGACAGTTTCACAGATCGCAGCCCCCCAGGGATGGCGAGGTCTAATTTGAATCCGCGGTGGGTACCCACTGTGCTGGGCCCCCCAGCAGGCCTCGAAAGTGGCGACAGTTTCACAGATCGCAGCCCCCCAGGGATGGCGAGGTCTAATTTGAGTCCGCGGTGGGTACCCACTGTGCTGGGCACCCACTGTGCTGGGCCCGCCCAGCAGGCCTCGAAAGTGGCGACAGTTTCACAGATCGCAGCCCCCCAGGGATGGCGAGGTCTAATTTGAGTCCGCGGTGGGTACCCACTGTGCTGGGCCCCCCAGCAGGCCTTGAAAGTGGCGACAGTTTCACAGATCGCAGCCCCCCAGGGATGGCGAGGTCTAATTTGAATCCGCGGTGGGTACCCACTGTGCTGGGCCCCCCAGCAGGCATCGAAAGTGGCGACAGTTTCACAGATCGCAGCCCCCCAGGGATGGCGAGGTCAAAGGCAGGGGGGAAGAGAGGGACGGGAGGGGGTGGGAAGGAAGGAGACGCGCGAGCAGTGCGACGCGCGTGGGAAGGAGACGCGCGAGCAATGCTCTATTCAAAGCTAGAACCCAACGCAGGAGGGTTGGGGACGTACCCAACCCTTTGGCAACAGGTGGCATTATCAACTGGCGCTTTCAAAATAGCTGAACATCCGCTGGACGTCCAAGAGGCCCACGA